TTTTCACTCCCTGTAAGACCCCCCCCGGCCTGCTTGTGGCAAAAAAATTGTTTTAATGGCAGCATATATGAAAAAATGAAAAGAAAAAGAAAGACTAAGTTTTTTAGTTTTGAAGATAATTTTAATTTCTTGAAATTTTACTCAAATTGTGACATTGCTAACTACAATTTCATTTCTCATTAAAAATTATTTTAATTTGTATCTTACTGTATTAAATCAGGAGAAATTAAGTAATAAAATCAACTCTAATCAAAAATGTCAGATTACAATAGATGCATCAATATGAACGAGAATTCACATGTGTCTATTGAAACCATGTCCTTGTGTCATGTTTATTTTTTATACTATATTCTTTTCTTAAATATATTTTCTTTTTCAAGCTGAAACCTCAACCACACTTAGTTTTATTACACACGCATACACACAAAGGGTGCTGAAAGGTTTTTGGGGAGTAGGTTGAAATAAGAACTTTTCAGCACTCCATCATATATAGCTGATAGATCAGATCACAATGTAAATAAGAAATAAGTCCTTGTAATGATCAAAAATGTTCAACTATTTCTTCTTCTATTATTTTGTAGTAGGTACCTCCACTTTTTCATGGTTAAACAGCATAGCATAAGGAAAAAAAGGCCACAAACTTAATAGAAACAAAGTTTTATTGTCAAAATGTTTGTTATTATTAAGAGGAAAGACCAAAGTATATTTTTGATTATTTTTTTAAAATTATTTAATCCTTTCAAGCATGTTCAAAATTTTAGTTCAAAATCTTGTTTTGTTTGTTGATGGTGGATGTAATAATTACAATTACTTTTTTGTGTTTTTTTTTTTTTCCTGTGAAAACATATTGATTTGGAAATTCTTGCAAAAGTCAAATAATTGTTGGATTTTAATGAAAATTTCAGAACTTACAAATGAATGAAATTATTTTTTTAATTTTTTGTTTTAGGAAATCTTGTTAAAAAAAAAATTTTTTTTTTTTTTTTTTTTACATATGTTACCCCCCACTTACTTAATTTCATGAAATTTCACGAAATTCCTTCTTATTTCCAGAATTTTTTTATTAGTTAAAAAGTAGGACTCCTAGGAGAATGTAAATCATCTAATTTCTTCTTTTTTTTTTTTTCAAATGTTTACCATTCTAACTGAAAATCTGCACTGAATAGTAAACTAAAAAAATGTAACCAAACTATGACATTATTTAATTAGAAAAGCTTTTATTTGCTTTTGTAAATAAGTTATATTAAGGGCACTATTTTCTGAAGAAATAAAATTTTTTTGATAATTATGAATTCTTAAAAGAATTTTTTAATTTTTTAAAAATTTTTATTTAAATTAATTATAATAGTTTAAAATATGGGATCGGATTTCCTACATTTTTTTGCATGAAATCAATTTGAAAACATGATTAAGAGGCATTAATGAAAGGGGGACAACTCATATCGAGTTATACTTATTATTATAAAACCCAGGTTGGTTGGTTGTGTGTTTGTATGTATGTGTGTGTGTTCGTTTATATATGGGATCGGATTTCCTACATTTTTCAACCGATTTCAACAAAACTCCACTTTTTTTTGGCAGGTAGTGTTTCTTATTGTCTTGCACACTTTTTTCTTTATTTTTACATTCAGAATGCTTTAAAAATTCCATTTACAAGACAATTGTTTATAATAAAATTCTATTCAATCGGTAGACTGATAACAATTGAAAACAATGTTTTTGTTTGAGTTTGGGTTTGACCAATTCGTAAAAAACAAAAAAAAAAAAAAAATTAAGACATGCGTGTCTATCAACCTTAAACAATAATCTTTGTCAATTTTATTTTTCAGTCTTTATGATGGTCAATACTTGATCTATCTCTTACTGTTACATTCCCGGGCAATGCCGGGCTATACTGCTAGTTATTAATAAAATATGCTTGAAAGACAATTTTGATACTTCTGTTCAGCTTTAATCTCTATAAAACGATTACCAGTGTTCTTTATGCCTCCTCCACAATCAAAAGAATGAAAAAATAATTTTAATATCATTGATATATTCAAATGACAATTTCTTATATTTAATATATTTTGTAAATATGCAGTATGAGACACAATTCAGGTAATGCCAGAATAAACCTTGTACTCAGTGACATCAGAGAAGAAAGGTGCATTGGCGGGTTGGTTTGACTGATTACTTTCAAGCAGGGAATGGAGATTGGCAGTTCACACAATGTCAATGGCTACACCAATATAGGAACACATGTTCAATCTAGCTGTGCCTTGGATGTGCATGCATGGGGAGGACTAAAAATAAAAAAAAATAAATAACTATGACAGATATATAAGCACTCACGCTAGAAGGAAAGTCTCTTATATCCACTCAAAAAGGTTTGCTTGGCAATTAATGAAGTATATAAATGAATAACATGTAATATAGCATGTTAAGAGAGAAATTAAGTCTTGTGTTTTCATCAGCAATGTAGGATGAGAATGTTGCAATTAGATTTTGCCAAGCGAACTATAACAATTGAGATTTCTTTGAACAAACTTTTACTACATTTCATAAATGCTTTTAATAAATTCTCAAATCGGTGTCTCATGAACAGAATGTTTGAAACTTTATCATATTTTTGCTGGCAAAATGGATTTAGATACATAAATTAGTTTCTGTAAATGTTGAAATTTGAAAATATTTTTTTATTGTTCATTGCTAGTAGTGATTTAATCCCTGTTCTTTTATCGTTTTCTCTCATTAATGTTTTTTTTTTTCTTTTTCTCATATTCCCTCACATCAGTAACCCCTTATTTCTTAGTAGTTTTTATTTCCTTTGGGTGAAATGATTAAAAAAATATACATTTTCATATTTCTTTAGATTGTTTATCAACTTCCTTTCATAATGTAGACAGGAAATTCAATGGAAAAGAAAACAATTTTGTCAGAAAAACATTTGTGTAATCTTTTTCAATGCACGTTGGTAGCTTTATTTATTCCCTGCCAATCATCTTCTTTCTCATTCACACACTTCTTTTGACCTTGATTGGAACAATTTAAAATCTACTACATAACACTGTCTACCCACTGATGATTAAAAAGTGAAAATATTGTCACATCAAATTACCTTTCCTCTTCATCATAGTTTGGACTATAAGGGAATGCCTGACCAAGAAGTCCTGCCTTCAAGAAATCTTGTTTTGTTGGGTTTTGGAAACTGAGTCAAGCCAAGAATTTTCTGCTGCCTCTTCTAAGAAGAGTTTAAAGAAATAAAAAACAACTCATTCTTCAGCCAACATACAAGTTCATTACTTGTTCCACCAGACAGCTAAGACCATCCATGCTATGTGCATTTGGACCAGTCATCCCAATTCCCCTATTATTCTGTTAGTAAAAAGAAAATTCCACTCCAATAGTTTCTTCCCAAGAATCTCTACTTTGTGGAACAAACTCTCAAGAGGATATTTTTCTGTTCTTGCTTCCCTGATAACTGCAATTTTCAAAAATTTAAATGAAATGCCAATCACTATCTTTTCTCTTCTTGAATCCCGTTCATCTTTTGTCTTTTCCTCAATCGTCCCTCACAACATGCAATCCCCTGTGTACTAAAGCATTACCACCTTGTTTGGGATGAGAGGATTAAAAAAAATATACAATCTTAACCCTGTCAAGTCTAGGGTTAACTCTCATCTTTCTGACATATCCTCATAAACTGTACTTATGTCCTCTCACCTCTCATGTGCATACAGCATCATTCAGTAATGCTCTACCTTTAACATTATTAAAAAAAAACAAAAAAAAAACAAAATATGTAAAGCAAGGTAAAAGATGGCCACAGCCTGTCTCTAAAATCTTACATTGCATTATTTCAAATAATTTTGACAACCGGCAGGAAAATTGACAAAATAAAATAGGAAGAAAACACTTTTTAATTTGAAACGTTTAAAAATAAAAATAAAAATTATTGGTATCTATGCTAGTTGGAAGATTATACATTCTATTTTATTCAGGTATTAATATAATTTTTGTTTTTAATAAATGTGAATTAGAAATGATTTTATATTAAAAACAAATTCGTACTTCAGAACGAGAGAATATTGTTCTAAGGGAAGTAACTCCTTCATTCAATTACTAGAATTACCTCCCTCATAAATATATATTAATAAATATATGTTTAACACTTGTACTTCATATCTTTTGTTTTATTAACTCCAGCACCATGTGCGGTAAATATATTTCTATATATGATTAATACAAATAAAATTTATCATTTGATAAAATTTGATTTGATTAAATTGATGTTATATTCAGCACCTCGATTCTATAGTTTCGTAGATAAACTTTTTCCTAATTGTTCTGTTCATTCTTCAAGATGTTTCAGCAATGAAAGATAGGATATGAAAAAATTATCAGAATAATAAAATGAATGACGAGATCATTAAGTACAATTAAAAAAAATTGTATTATATATATATATATATATATATATATATATATATAAAACTGATTTTCTTTTAAAATATTTTCTAACAGTTATTTTATTTGAAAATGAATTCATTTTCATGTTAAAATGTTACCTTTTTATCCTTTTCTCTTTCTCATGATAGGATCGGAAATAAGGGAGAGTTTATTGTTTTATGATTTAGGATCGGAAATAAGGGAGAGTTTATTGTTTTTATCAGTGAATGTGAGTTGCTCACCTTAGAATTGATACTTAAAACTGTTTATTGAAATTATTGTAGAAGCCAATTATTTCTTAACTACTTTAACCTACAAATAAATTTTATTCAATAATAATTTAGTTGCTTTTGATGATCCTGAGTTGTTTTCATCTCATCATTCTGTTTGAGTTTTTCAATTCAAAATTTTTAATTGGTTTTCAGTGCTATGTCTACTGAGACATTGATTGGTGATTCTTAACTTTTCTTCAAAAATAAATAATTATTATTACTTTCAATTGTAACAAACAACTACTATTATTATTTTAATTTGAATTTAATTTTTTTCTTTTTTCTATTCTTTTGCAGCACCAAGCCGTTGTCTACATAGATGCTCGCCATTTCACTCAGACGAACATGCTACGTCAGCGCCTGTGAGTCCTCAAATTAGCCGGCTGCCTCGAAGTTTGTTGGCAGAGAATATTTCCGTAACTGACAAGGAATAACAAAGACGATAATAGTTTGTTTTTTTTGTTTTGTTTTTTAAACCTCTCAGCAACAGCAGCAGCAGCAGCAACACTACTAGAAATTTTAGAGACAGAAGATCAAGAGAGGAAGGAAGATCAAGGGCCTGGGTCCCTGCACCCTCATAAAGCCATCTCACACTCTTGTCTTTTTTTCCTAATGCTTTGCTCCACACTTTAAAAACATCTCTTCCGCTGAACCCCCTTCCTCCCACCACCACCTTATGAATACCCTCCCCACACCTCTTTTCTTCCATGTGTCATCCGGCGCCCTAACGGCTGACATGTTTCTCAAGAGTGAATAAAAAGAAAAAAGTGCATGTGCAGGGGATAGCACCCTATCCCAACACCCCATAAATGTTAACGCAACGCCTCTCGCACCCCCCCCCTCCACCCAATTTTTTTCTCCCTTTTCATCACCTTCTTCTGCTCAAACTCTTTCTATGTGAAAGCTTCTTTATGAGGGTGGGTTTTATTTGGTGCAGTTTTTGTAAAAAAAAATTTGTATAAAATTATTCTAGTGTTAATATTATTAACTTCTCTTTCCCTCTCTCTGCTTTTATTTAAACACACACACACACACATATATATATATATATATATATATATATATATATATGTGTGTGTGTGTGTGCTATTAAAGTCATTAAATGTGAAACAAGAAAGATTGTATATGTGGAGGATACATTAAATGAAGATGAGGAAGAAACAAGATGGAAGATCTAGATCTTTTTTTTCTCTTTTTTTTTTTTTTTTTGAAGGTGACAAAGGGGAGACATGGCAATGATGACTCCTGGAATGTGGGCAGATGATTATTATTATTATTATTATTATGAACTGGTCTCTCTTTCTCACTCTCTAGTTTGTGTACTTTTTTAATTGAAAAAAAATTAAGTAAGCAAAAATGATAAAAAAAAAATAAATCACTTAAAGAATCCATTTTTTTTATTATTATTATTGTGCAATTTTTTTCTTCTTCAACTTGCTCTCCCCCTTCTGGCTCTTGCCAAATATTTCTCATTCTTCACTCTTTCTTTTTCCCTTTACTCTCTTTCTCTTCCCTATTAATATTTTCCTCCATCTGTAAAAGAGCTTACCTTATCATTTTATCTCTTTTTAGCATTTTGGCAGCTCTCATATTAGTGGGGGAGGACTTTTTCTTTTTTAATTTATCAAATATTTCTTTTTTTTTTTTTTTAATTTTCTTCTTTGATTCTTTCCTCTATATTCCTGCATTTTCATCTTTTCTTTTTTCCTTTTCTCTTTATTTTCCTGCCAATCACTCATTATTTCACTCAGGTCGAAAGAGATGCTGTTATATTCAATTTTATGTGTTTTTTACTTCATTTTTACAATTTTAAAGACAAAACCCAGCCACAAAAACTTTTGCTTCCAACAACAAGACAGAGACTTAAGTTTATGTCCTTTTTTTTATTTTATTTTATTTAAACCATTTTTTGCAGCCGCCCCTTTTGTGCATTTTCCTTTTCTCTTATCAACTGACATTTTTTCTCTTTTTCTTTCTACCTTTTCAGCTTTCACTTTCTCAGCAACATCTACTTTTTTTTCTTTTTATCCCAGCCATTAGTCTCCTTCAAGGTTGTGGGTTATTCCTTATTTTTGTGTTCACTCTGGGCATTAGAAAAGAAAAAAAAAGTCTGTTTAGACTTAGCTATAAAGACTATGTAGAAAATCTGCAAATATATATATATATATATATATATAGACTTGATTTGACTATGCATCAAGAATGCATAATGTCATAGTGAATTGCATTAGACAAGATTGAAAATTTTAAAGATATTATCAGGGAACAAGCAGAAAACACCTTTTGTTTTTTTGATGAGACACAAATCAACTTTTTTATCCAGGACATTGCTCATTCTTTTTGATTTTACAATTGGGATTCACTGTACAAAGAAACTAAGCATATATATATATATATATATATATATATATATTGGAGGAAATGTGTGTGTGTGTGTGTGTGTATATATATATATATATATATATATATATATATAGGAGGAAAGATATATAGTAATGTGGGAAAAGTTTTTGTGTGACACATTTTGTTCTTTAGGACTTCATTGGACTAGGTTTGTTTACGTTGGTGTGACTACATGTGCACACAAATGAGAAATGCTGGGAATTTTAAATTTAAAAAATATATAATTATTTTTTTTTTTATTATATCATCTCTTTTTAAATTCAAAATTCCCAGCGTCTCTTGTGCGTGTGTAGTCGTATTAACTAATCTAGTTCGATGAAGTCCTAAATGACAAAACGCATCACACCAAAAAAGTTTTGTCATATAACTTTCCTTCAAAGTTGTTCTTGATAGGTAAAACATGTATATATCATTATTGTGTGTGTGTATATATATATATATATATATATATATATATATATATATATATATATATATATATATATATATAATGTTTTGTATGTTGGTATCTCTATAATGTTTTGTATTTGTGTGTATGTATCTATCTATCTCTATAAAATGTGTGTACACATTGCCTATATGTATGTATGTATGTATGTATGTGTGTGTGTTTGGATTCATGTATGCAAATTAGAAATATTTTCTCCTTCCAATCTGTTCATCATAGGTATCATCCATCTTTAATCCACTGAAACAACTTAACGTTCATATTTGGGGTTTTATGAGAGCACCTGTATAATGTAGATGTGAGAAATATGTGTAAGTTTTGTGTTAACTTGTATTTTTATTAAATGTCATTTATATACAAAAACTTTTTCACAGTAAAAACATGTCTTGAACTTTTTACAGAGGGGGGTACCATATCACACATTTGAGGATGAACACAACTATGTTTATTGTTCAAATCTTTTCTTTCGCTCTTGTATGAAAGTTGTTGATAAATATTGTTTTTTGCATATATATATATATATATATATATATATATATATATATATATATATATATATAGTTTGGTTAAATAACAACGAAAGTTCCTTAACTATTTTTTGTTTATTTTTCACATTTCCTTGTTTATTTACGGTTCATATTTAAAAATATGTCAGGGTAATTTTGTCTAGCATTAGCTTTTTTCAAAGACTTTTGGTGTTTGTTGTCAGTTTCATTTTTAAATATTGCATATTAAATGTGAAAATTTTTATCTTTTTTGTATGTAAAATACATTTAGCATATTAGACATGAGGTTTGGTGCAATTTTATTGATGTTGAGTTGCTTGCTTTTTATGCTCAATGTATCAAGCAATTGTAATCACTTTTTACATTTTATGTGATATAGAATCTTTGTCTTGTTAAGAATTTGTCTAACTTGTGTTTTTCTTTTGTGTTGGTTGTTGATATGTGATTTAATAGAGCTATTATTAGATAAATGGCATGTTAAACAATGTGACACTGTACTTGTGAAACTAATATAAATGTTTGAATTATTGTTAGAAAAGCATTTTCTAAGCGTCTATGTGAATTCATAAACAACGTTGGTTTGTTGGAGTTTTTTGCTATGTCATTGGTGATGACATTTATCTAATACTAACTTCATTAAAACACATATCATCAAACAATAGAACGGAAAGGCAAATCGCAAATTAGGCAAATTCTTAACAACAATGCAAAGCTGTTATATCACGTTTATGTGATACAGCACCTTTGCATTGTTGTTAAAAAATTGCTTGATAAAGAAATAGAATTTTTTAGATGCATCTACAATTTGTTCAAGGCATTAGACATAAACCCAACATCAATAAATTACAATACATCACATACCTAATACATCAATACAATACATCACATACCTAATACATCAATACAATACATCACATACCTAAATACATCACATACCTAATACATCAATACAATACATCACATACTTAAATACATCACATACCTAAATACATCACATACCTAATACATCAATACAATACATCACATACCTAAATACATCACATACCTAATACATCAATACAATACATCACATACCTAAATACATCACATACCTAATACATCAATACAATACATCACATACCTAACATAGTAAATATGCTTCATTTAAAAAGACAACGAATTTTCATGTGAATAAGCTATATTTAAAATTAAACAAACACCAAAACGCTATGAAAATGGTTAACACTAGGTAAAAGTACTTCGACAAGAAAATATATTTTCAAATATGAAATGGAAATAAAGAAAATGTTAACAGAAAACTTTTTGTTGGTATTTCACCAAACTTGTCTAAATGAAAAATTGCTGCCCAGATAGACCTAATTCAGCTGCAGTTACTTGAGATTTTAAAACTTTCCTTAAACTAAAATTACTTCTTAAAATATATTTTAAAAGAGTAAAACATAAATAATAAATGAGTAGCTTAGCGCATTAATAATAATAGTATTTTGAAAGTTAAAAAAAAAATTGAAATGTTCTCAAAATCAGAGTCATTGGATTCTGATAGGAAAAACTGAAATTAATTTTTTAAAAAGATGTTCATTTTAAGGTTAGATTTAATAAATGAAAAATACAGGAGTATCTATCCTTGTGTCCATGAATGTGATAAGGGTGGAGTTTAATGTCGGGTTTTGGAAAAGCATCGCAAAAATTGTTTAAGCCTCTTGTCACTTCCACTTTTGGAGATGCCATAGGCAGTGGGCAATGTCCCCAGTTCCTCTCCCAAAGGAGAGTTAAAATTATTTTCAACTTCCCTGTCATAAGGGAGTCTTGCAGTTTTATAAAAAATGCGATTTTAGTTTTTATCCTGACAACATTACTTTCTTCAATTGCTTCACTATCTTGAAATTTTCACATAAACTTCTCTAACAAAATTGTACCAGTTGACTAACATTTTGCATCTGCCTACCCTAAGTTCCGTCTACA